GGACCAGGTAGGCCAGTTCGAGCCGTCGAGGACGGGGACAACGGCGATCAGATTGTTCGACATTGTTGCGGAGCGGTTGAGAGATCTGAAATCTGTATTGAGATCTCATCAGTATCAGCGAAGCTATGCAGCCCGATAAGGGCGCACTGCTCCATGCTGTTGGCTCCATTAGGGAGTTACCCCAGGATCGATCATCAAGCCTGATGGCTGCTGATAACAGCGCCTACGGCGATGATCACGCATCAAGCCACACTGCAGCCTGTGAGGGCGCATAGGGCGATGCACAGGTGAGCGAGGCGCAACGCGCTGCAGCGAGTTACCGCGCAGACGCAAGCTGCCTAGTTGGGCTCATAACCTGATGAAGAGTTATGGAGGCAGCAGCACGCACAGTGCGCCCTACACAACTCACCTGTATTGGTTGGATGCTGTAGCTACTGGTAAAGCTCGTATAAACGACCCTTGTCATTAGGCAGCAGAGCTGCAGGGTTTATATACACTGTGGCCCATAGGCTGACTAAGCTATGTGGAATATCTATAATCCTACTGAGCTCCACCTATGATGTCACTGACCCACATGAGCTCCGTGCCCTTGTACAATAATGGAATATACCAGAATGTTCCAGAGGGTTCCGGTATGTTCTGGTACGTTGTAGAACCTGGCAGCTAAGTCAGCGCCTAGTTCAACAAGAGTTGCTGCTGATAGCATGTTATTCAGTTCCAGTGTTGGATGTGGTCTGCTTTTGAGTTTGCAAAGAGATTATGATGTTTGCAAATTCAGTGGTCTGGTGCAGTCCGATATATACTCTGTAGCTGAGTAGGGACAGACATAGTATACATTGTCACCCTTGGAAGTAATATCACTGACATTGACATATGTAGAACCACAGCTACCTACAAGGTCAACAGCACCTACATGGTCTCGCTTGATATCTACTGTGCCTATTGCGGACTACATAACTGTGCATACTGTATGTCTATGTATGTAAGCGACGTAACGCATAACGCAGCCTCCGTTGCGTTACCCGGAGCGCACTTGGTAACGCGTAACGCAGAGGTTGTTGTCTTCTCCCGGGAAGTGTAACGCTCGTCAAAAGATTCGATTTTTGGTGGGATTTAGCTACGAATATTATTCCGTCAATATATCTCAGCAGTTAAAAATCAAGTATTATATTGTAGAGTGCTTCTTTGCATCCCTAATATGGAAGGATCATATGTAGAAGCGCATGGGTACTGGTCGGGTTGCGGTTGCTAATTTTACCAATGTAACGTGTAACGCCGGCTTTGTTACTTCGAGGGGTGCCATTTCAAAGTGTAACGCTGTGCGCCCGGTTGCTTACATACATAGACATACAGTAATCTATGTCAAAATTATTTTTTCCTGATGAACGCCAGGCTTCCCCGTGGTCATTCTTGCTTGTCTCATCGACGAACACAAACTGTTCTCCCGTCCCGTCAGACTGCTGTTGAATCATCTCCTTCCACTCTGCCGTGCGCTTGTAATCTCGCTCACTTGCAATCTTCTGCAGGAGTTTCCGCGTGAGACCAGCCATATGCAGGTTCTGAGACAAAGCACTTGTCGAAATGACAATATCATGGTGAATGACTAGCCACCACTTCAGCTCGTCAAGGTGGGTGTCAGGATTGTGTATAAAGATAGCCTCCGAATCAGCTAGGACTGCACGGGTGATGATACGGGTGCAACCACAAAGTGGAGATGGTGGTTTTGCGACAACACCAAATGTTTGGAAGATGGCCCGCCAGTGATAGAGACTAGCCTGAGAGATGAGCAGAGCATCACAGATATCCTCTCTATCCCATCCAGCATCCCAGAGTCGAAGGGCACACTCTTTGAGGTCAGAGCTAATATGACGATTAACCATACTACAGCCAGAGATGAAGCGACACTGCAAAACCAAGGCGAAATGGTGCATCTGAGAACTGCCGGAAACGGAAATTACCTAAATTGGACGACACACGGAAAATCCTGGGTTCTCATTATATTCTGGCATGGCTGTAAGTTTCACCACAACAAATGCCTTGGAACGTCTCGATGGTGGATTCATCAGATACACCAGCTGGTATGATGAAGAGTTATGGAGGCAGCAGCATGCACAGTGCGCCCTACACAACTCACCTGTATTGGTTGGATGCTGTAGCTACTGGTAAAGCTCGTATGAACGACCCTTGTCATTAGGCAGCAGAGCTGCAGGGTTTATATACACAGTGGCCCATCGGCTGACTAAGCTACGTGGAATATCTATAATCCTACTGAGCTCCACCTATGATGTCACTGACCCACATGAGCTTTATGCCTTGTACAATAATGGAATATACCAGAATGTTCCAGAGGGTTCCGGTACGTTCTGGTACGTTGTAGAACCTGGCAGCTAAGTCAGCGCCTAGTTCAACAACATCAAGGCCAGCCTGGTTCAAATATAAGTGTCACTCATCGAGAAACACCACTACGTACCATTTGCTCCCGAATCGACATTGTCTGCGGCGGGTTCAATATCTCATCATAGTCCACCTCAGGAACTTGATTCTCCGTCCCTGTATACCAGCCCACAGGCTGTGTAGCCAACTAGTGCAAGCTTCCAGTCATACCAAGAATACAGCTTACCACAGCATCCAGTGATTTCGTCGGCGGTGGCATCCAAACCTCAATCACACGGTCCTTGATCCTCTCACCAATCGACATCACCATGGCTTGTAGCCATTCTCATCCATCAATGCCATCTTCGGCAAGTTTGCAGGCTTGGTGTACCACCATAACATGTCAGCTCATACAAGATAGGGCAACGTACATCCAACAGCTGTTGCGATTGCCTGGAGAAACTCGTTGTATGCTGTATTGACTCCAAAGAAGAACGGCCCGTGTAGGATAACCTTTGGCAGTGCATTGGCTACCTTCCCACGAGCAGGGACCTTCAGAGTCAAGGAGAGCAGAATAGTTACCAGAACGTAGGCAGAAATGTCTGATGCGTCAGAGTCAGGGGTGGGAGCTTCTGTTCGAGATTTCTTCCGGGGGCGTGCAGTCTTTGGATCATCGTGTTCAGAGTCCAAGTTGTCGGACTCGCGCAGTACATTGGCACTTGTGCTGGCAGCTTTCTGTGCCACCTTTTCGGCTGCCTTTTCTTGCCGGCATGCTTTAGCTTTGGCATTTCTCTCCTTCTTCTTCATCATCTCTGGGCTCATCACCGACCACTGTTGTAAGACTGGGTGACGATTAGCATAAGTACCACTTACTACTGTAGGTATACCTTCCGGCGATATTTGAGGGATTATATCTTTGCAAATGACTTGATCAAACGGACGGTTGTCATTCGGGTCTTCTTGCTCGTATGCTGACATTGTAGCTCAAGAAGGTATTTCAACGAGAGGTAACAATGCAGTGGAGGAGGCAGAAACACATCGCTCGCAGGTCATTGACGCAAGCTTATGCTTGCCGGAAATGGAAATAACCTAAATCGGACGACGTGCAGAAAATCCTGGGTTCTCATTATATTTTTATCCTGCTGTAACCAGCCAAAAGCTCATCTTCCGTGAGGATTCTAAGTTACTGGGAACGGACAGACAGTGTCTGGACAGGTGAGGGGAAACACCAGACTCGGAGCTCGGTAAACGGACTGTAAGTACACGGACAGTCGGCGGAGAGTCCGTTTCGGTGGCTCCCACGGTGGGTCCCGACGAGTTCTTTGAGTTCGACCTCTCACTTCGGGAGTTACACTAGTACTCTTTTGGGCCTAGCAAAAGATTGTATGGTAGGGATATATGAAAGATTGGCTTTTGTAAATGACTTTGGGGCTCACAAAAGATAATCTTTAATGAGAATTTCGAAGCTTGTAATATATTTTCAGCAGTATTATCTTTGTTGATACATTATAATTAAATCTTTTAGATTCGCTTCTGACACTGGAGGATTTGTAAACTTTAGGGGTGGGCAGAAGGTTGTATGAAAGAGAATTCCCAGCCACTGATCAGAGCCTGTGGAATTCTCTTTCATACAACCTTCTGCCCACCCCTAAAGTTTACAAATCCTCCAGTGTCAGAAGCGAATCTAAAAGATTTAATTATAATGTATCAGATAATACTGCTGAAAATATATTACAAGCTTCGAAATTCTCATTAAAGATTATCTTTTGTGAGCCCCAAAGTCATCTACAAAAGCCAATCTTTCATATATCCCTACCATACAATCTTTTGCTAGGCCCAAAAGAGTGTAACTCCCAAAGTGTCTGTGAGCGACGAATTTGGTGGTTGGTCCACTCTTGGATTGCTGCACAACAATCGAACACAAACAATCAATTTTTGAGCACCCCTAGTGGTGACCGCACTGACCAGCAGCGTACACAAGGATCAATGCATCCATGCCACATCCATACAATTGTGGGACTTATACCCTGTATGTCTGGTAGTCTAGCGGTTTGCGCACGTTATGGTGATGTGAGCTGCCGTGGTTTGCTTCGATTACTGGTGTTGCATGGACTATTATTTACACACAGGTGCCCAGGTGCTACAATGAGTACTCTATATAGCCACTAAGCACCTTGCAGCTGCTGCTCTGCAGTGGCACTGTGCAAGTTGTGTGCCACTCACACAAGTACATTCAGGATGGGCTCAGGCCTTGCAGCCCTCATTACTCTGCTTGGGTGTCATCCTGAGTTGTATCACCGGCTTGATGTTGAGAGCATTCAGCGCTTCATCCACCTTGTCAAACTATGCCGTGGTGCAATTCAACTAGGACAAAAGCAAATAGATACTCCCCCATCAGTCCTGCCTGGCCTTGTCCACAGATTCCATTTTGTGTGTGACACTTAGTCACTGCTACTTTTGAACAAGAGATTAGATAAGCTTAAAAACACCCCAATTTCTTATTGCTCTGGTGGAAGTGCTCCTTTCGGTGAGGGGATCAATTCCACCAGATGGATTTGCAATAGCATCAAAACTGAAGGAGATTTAAGATAGGTGTCATGCAAAAGGGCTTACTTGTGACAGGGTGTGACACATCACATGCCCCTGCCAAATCCCTTGTGCGCAATGCATGGCGGAGTGCTGAAAAATGATGGTGTTTCTGCATCTCCTCATCAGGTTCAACCTCAAAAAATAAACCACTTCCGACAAAAAACATAAACACCTTTAAAATTGTTTTGTCAGAAGCAAAATGTTTTATTTCAAGCTCATCACAGAGGAGATGCAAAATGTGACAGCCTGGAGGCCGTTTGCCAGCCAAATGGGTCACATGATAGTAAGCCCTTTTGCACGACGTCTATCTTACATTTCAGCAGCACAGATTTGGCCAGATGACACCATATATCCATATATGGTATATATGACGTAATATAATTTAATTCTAATAATAATTACTGGTCAAACTGTTGAACTGTGTGCTTGGGTATGTGACAGTGCGAGGTGTACTTTTTCGAGCTGAACTGCTTTGCCTTCATTTGCACATCCTTTGCTGTTAATCCCTCCCAATACACATCCATCCATTGATGCATGTGGTGTTCCCATTTCCATATTGTTTGAAGCTGTACTGATGTGAGTGCCTTGTGGAGTTTCTCCTTGAGCATGTTGAAAGTATAATTGTAATGCTCTTGGAGATACTTCTTCACTGCCCCCCAGAAGAACTCAATAGAATTCAATTCACAATGAAATTTTGGGAGGAAAATGCAGACATGCCCAGAGGCCTCAATGACCTCCTGCACAAGGGAACTCTGTGCTTTAAAGTCTGGCTGAAGCTCAATAATACGGGTGGCACAGCAAGCAGTCCTCTCACAGTTACAGCCATCGTGGCATTTCAGCAATGTACCTTCAGTCCAGAGGCCGCACTCAAGTAAGACCTGCTTCATGCCTTTTGCCAGACCCAGAAATTCTGGGTGATCCGCAGGGAACACCATTGCCTGAGTGATTATGTGTCCATCACACTTGAACCAGCTGTCCCGCATGAGTGCCTGCTTCCCACCAGGTCTGAGATTCATTCATGACACCAGAAGGACATCCTTTGCATATGCCGAATGTCCTTGAGAATTGTTGACCATAATGAGTGCTTGATATCCCAGTCCATGCACCTTCTCAAATGCCAGGATGATGTTCTTCATGAGTTGCTTGATGAAAAGCTTGCTGGTCCAGTATCCATCATAATTCTTGGCATACTCCAGAGTCTAGCCAGCATCTTACAGCTAACCAACAGTGGAACAAATCACTTCGCTGTGATGCATGCTGTGTCCCTGGCTCTTTTTCTTCAGAGCATGTTCACCATCCAGAACCTACCTGCGTGTGAGCCCGTTGATATGCACAGACACACAACAATCACCAAGGACCAAAAGAAATAAACCTAAACCCCGTGATATGGGTGAAGGCAGTCCGAGACAACTGAGGGGTATTTTAATAGTTCGAGGGGGAAAGGAGGAGTAAGACGCCGTAGGGTAGTCCGTAGGAAGACCTAGAAAAATAAAACAAAAAACCCTTGACGCCTGAAACAAACACTAAGGGACACTCCGGAGTATTTATCTCCGGAAAGTCGCAAACAAAGTCGCAAACCATGGAACCGAGTGTAGGTTCGGGCCCACGGAAGTAAGAAACGCTAGAAAGACTTGTTTAATTTTATTTCGCTATGTGAGGCTCACCGGAGCTAATTGAATCGATGGCGGAGATAAATCACTCGACGAGTCAGGCCTATTGGCAAAGCTAGGATCGGTTATAATTCGCTAAGTTCGATGCTTTCGAACTTCTCAGGTCGCTGAGATCGTAACGCTAATTCTCTGAGATGGTGAAGTCGAAACTTGTTTTTCTGTACGCTACTTTGTACAATTTATACTACAGGAATGGCTTTGCGGACCGTCCGGAGATAAATAACAAATAACCGCCACTACCCACAGGATTTCTCAGCACTTGCCGCCGCTATACCATGCACCATACGACTCCCTTGCACTCCCACTTGCTCGTCCCAACCCCTAGAGGTCGCCTTGACGCTCTGCCACCTGATCCAAGCGGTCCCATCACTCCGTGCGATGCGCCGGTCACGTGCTAATTACCTCCGGCCGCTTGCTGACTGATGCTGACCTCATGGTGACTCATATGTGTCCGCACCTTCGCTATCTTGACGGAAATGAGGGGGCGTGAGTGCTGGAGGGTGGGCATGAGGACGATGCCCCTCGATAGAAGTGCCCGCGGGCCCCGGAGCTAATTCATCTAAACGTTGCATTGGTTAAGTTGCTCCGGAGCTCCTGTTCGCGGAGATAAATCGTGGAATGGGTCCATGTACGCCTCAAGGATGTTAGGAAGTCCGGAGATAAAACAGAGCAAGTCTTTAGAGCCCATAGAAGCCTAGAGGCGTGTGAGCGCTGTATCGAATAAGCTCCGGAGGGCTTGTACGATGCGCTGAGTCCGCGTTTTCGGGGGTCAGACGATCCTGAGGCTTATCACCGTCACCACCTGAGCAGTCATCTCATCATGTGGCAGGAGAACCAGCTGACGTTCAACATAATCATCCACAGCCTTGATGAGTTGTTTGTCAACATCCCCCACAACATACTTGACCAAATGCCTGTGGAACTCAGCCATCGCTAGCAAGAATTCATGTTGTCTGGACGCTTGTGCCCATCATAATACAGTGACTTCTTGTGTTCTGGATACCTGAAACCTATTATTAGACCCTCCAGGCTATTCCCGAGGCACCAGATCTAGCCCAAATCCCGGTCTTCTTGCTGGGATGCCGGGGCAGGCCATTCAAGCTCAGCCCGGCTCATGGCAGGCAGCCTGCCGCCTGAAATCCCATTACATTAGGCCTGGACAATTGTCCTGAAACATTGTAAAGGAGCGCACGAGTGTTGTCCAGGTTTAATGTAATACTACTACAGCATCAGGTGAGGAAGGATGGGATGAAGTGATCAACTGGTTTACGTACCTTAGCCCAAACGTTCTGATGCTCTTGAAGCAAATCTACCTCCTTGAAGCTATCCGGCATGCCACTGAGGTTGACCAGCCAATTCATGAGAAATGTGTGCCTATTTAGCAGTTTAGCCCGCCAGAATGTACTAGGTCGATGCTGGGGCTTACCGGAGTTTGGGATCCATTTGCTTCAGATGTGTTATGATGTGGAACAAAGCATCTGCATATTTAGGCATGGAAGCGTGAGATTAAGAATAAGTTCTTGAGTCAGTTGGTATGGTGCCAACTTCTTGGCTTTCCAACCACCAAAGACCAAGGGAAAATAACCTAACACACACAGTGGTATGGGTGGAGGTGGTCTGAGACGACTGAAGAGTATAAAGTAGTTCAAGGGGGAAAGGAGGAGTAAGATGACGTAGGGGAGTCCATAGGAAGACCTAGAATAATAAGCCAAAACCTTGAGGCCTAAAACAAACACTGCAACAATGCCCCAGAGTATTAATCTCCGAAGATTGCTGACAATCAAGCCAGTAAAGCAGAGGACATTGCTGTGCATGAAGGAGGAGAGAGAGTGCCACACCCAATGGAGGTTGGTGGGGGAGAGTGGAACTTGGTAAGGGAAGGGAGCAAAGGAGTGAAGGGGATGACCAACAAAGGAGCTGGTTTCAAAGTCCAACTGAACATGCACGTGATGTCTGACATGACAAAACTAGTCACGTGACTGGTCACCTTTAGTGTTGACCGCAGCCAAAGAGTGGGGAGGTGCGATTCCCGGTTCTGGTGCGAGTTGATTTGTCAGCAGATTGTGGCTGAAAGGTGGTCGCAAGTATCCCCTCATATTCTTGTGCATTCCTCTGCTCCATTCTCACCTTATGCATGCATGAGCAATGTATATCACTATTGTAAACCAGCAAGAAAGGTATTCTACCATTATAGTAGATAGAAACATGTCTGTCTCTTCTTATTCCTGAGCTGTCCACCATTGGGATGAAATGATGGTCGATTTGACTAAGGTCGGCACAAGAGTGCTTAGGGAAGTTATGTATTGTTCTTTAGAAACATTTGGAACATATCCGTTGATATGCACTGACACACAACAATCACCAAGGACCCAAAGAAATAAACCTAAACCCCGTGATATGGGTGAAGGCGGTCCGAGACAACTGAAGGGTATTTAATAGTTCGAGGGGGAAAGGAGGAGTAAGACGCCGTAGGGTAGTCCGTAGGAAGACCTAGAAAATAAAACAAAACCTTAGATGCCTGAAACAAACACTAATGGACGCTCCGGAGTATTTATCTCCGG